GCAACAGCGCACCACGCAACAGCGCACCACGCAACAGCGCACCACGCAACAGCGCACCACGCAACAGCGCAACAGCGCAACAGCGCAACAGCGCACCACGCAACAGCGCACCACGCAACAGCGCAACAGCGCACCATGAAACAAACAGCGCACCACGAAACAAACAGCGCACCACGAAACAAACAGCGCACCACGCAACAAACAGCGCACCACGCAACAAACAGCGCACCACGCAACAAACAGCGCACCACGCAACGAACAGCGTACCACGCAACGAACAGCGCACCACGCAACGAGCAGCGCACCTTCCACGCAACGAACAGCGCACCTTCCACGCAACGAACAGCGCACCTTCCACGCAACGAACAGCGCACCACGCAACGAACAGCGCACCACGCAACGAACAGCGCACCATGCAACAGCGCAAGGACCACGCAACAGCGCAAGAACCACGCAACAGCGCAAGAACCATGCAACAGCGCATAAACCACGCCACAGCGCAAGAACCACGCAACCGCGCAAGAGCCACGCAACTGTGCAAGAACCACGCAACTGCGCACCACGCAACCGCGCAACCACGCAACTGCGCACGACGCAACTGCGCACCACGCAACCGCGCACCACGCAACCGCGCACCACGCAACCGCGCACCACGCAACCGCGCACCACGCAACCGCGCACCACGCAACCGCGCACCACGCGACTGCGCACCGCACCAGCCACGCAGGCATGCAACCGCGCACCACGCGGGCGTCTTGCGCTTCTCTGCTTGTTCTTCAGGAATCTCCTGGCCTCTGCTGACCTTCGCAGGCTGGAGGCCTCCGGGGTAAAAGGCCGCTGAAGCCCGAAGGCGGCCACGGTCTCAAGAACAGCCAAGCAAGCTGATGACCAAGGGCCCGGGGGGTACAGGCTGCACGGCTTGGGGGGGCCAGCCCCTCGGCTCGCCTTCGGAGGCCTTCCACACCCGGCGTACTGCTGCGGCGGTGAAGCATTTCGGAGGCATTTATGGCACAGGCAGGCAGTGGGAAGGGAGCGAAGGCGGCCCCTTGGGCCCCTTTTGAGGCCTTCCACACCCGGCAGACGGCTCCCAAAAGGGTCTGGGGGGGGCTACTGGTGCCTTCCTCTACGCTAGGGTGGGGGGGCACCGTAGCCTTGCGCCTTGGATCATATATATTCATTTAGATATATCGCCGCAGCAGTGCGCCGGAGGTGGAAGGCCTCCAAAGGCGGCAAAAGGCGAGGGGCTGGACCCCCTGGGCCGTGCGGCTTGTACCCTCCGGGCCCTTGGTCATCGGCTTGCTTGTTCTTGAGACCGTGGCCGCCTTCGGCGGCCTTTGTTTTGCCCCGGACACTGACCCACCTCCCGCCTGCGAGGGTCAGCAGAGGCCAGGAGCAGGAGGCCCCTGAGGGACACGCAGAGAGGCGCAAGGGAACACCCGCGCCCAGTTTTGACGCCTTCCACCAGTAGAGCCCGCGAAAGTCAGCGCGGAAAAGGGCGCGCGCGCGCCACCACAGACAACTGCGCCACAGGATCAGCCTTGGAACGTATATATGCAGGCTGGCTCCTGGTTCAGGCTGGCCCCCACTCTGGTTCAGGGTGGAACGCTGGCAATTTTTTCCCTTGATTAATTTGGCTTCTCTCCCACCTTGGCCCAGGTTTTTGCAAGTTTATTTTATCCCCACCCAAACCGGTCCGGGGTGGAATTTCTGCCACCCTGCCGTGATAATTATGTGAAAGGCTGCGAATGCTAGGCGCCTACTTGGTGATAGACAGGAGGCGGGCAACCTTCTCGAGCGAAGGCGCAAGCTTGGGGGGCCCTTTGTTTCGGCACCTTGGTACCCCTGCAGGCTTGCCACGGTTGTGCCTTGAAGTCGGGGCGGCAGTGCCAAGGGAAGCGACTGGGCCCCCGTATTTACTGGCGACTGAGTGCCCCTGCCTGGGGGGCTCAGCGCAGCTTCCATCCCTGACCGGGGGCGAGCAGCTTGGGGCGGCAAGGAGACAAAGGCGAGCACCGCTCGGCGGCGCTGGTCCGCGGCCGCTGGTGCAAGTTGTTGCGCCGTGTGGTCTTTGCTGTCTCGCTCGCTCTTCCACCAAGATCCAAGTGCCAGCAAGGAGGACGCGCCCCAGGCGATGGAGGAAGTGCCCGCGCTAGAGGTTTGTCAGTCGCTCGGCGGTGGCTTCGCTGCGTGTGGCATATCAGCCATCGCGAACGGCCGCGTGCTGTCGATCTCAGAGCGAGGGAGCGGGCTTCTGCTCTTCGTTGTCATAATCATGGGGGTGCGGCCGCTGGCTTGTGGCCTTCCCTTGGCTGACTCTGCCAGCCAGGAGAGCCTTGCCGCGTCCTTGAGATCGCCCCCCCCCTCACTCGGACACGGCCGGGCAGTTCTTCTGGCTAAAATCTGGCTAAA